AAATGTGTTCTGCACTATCTTTAAAATATTGATTTCTTAATTTTGGGTTGGAAAAGTAGGGCTCATCTTGTACATGGGGGAGTCTTATTGACGGAAAAATACGGTAGTTTCAAAATCTTATTTCAAGTCCCTCTGGCCCTTTAGTCTAACTTAACAAGATCAATGTTCTAATCACTCTTTTGCTGTTTATTCCAAAGTAAGAATTCTTTATAAATCCTTAAACTTACATAGAAACTTCTTTCATCAAGGAAAGAAGGAAACTCACCCGGTGTAAAGAAACTTACCTTTCTGAAGGTTCTTAATGTCTAAAAAGCTGTTAATAAGCAATTTCCAAAGTGATTAAGAAAGGAAGTATGTGAACCCAATGTCCTTTGGAAAGGCTCTAAACCACAGCTTAAGCAGGGACGGCAATTCCCTCAGCTTCAAGAGCTCTAAAACCCACCAAAGACTGCTGTCTTAAAGTCTCATTGTGGGGAGTCACTGTACTGAGTGCTTGTGGACAATCCCAGTCCTCTCCTTACTCCAGAGAGGAATTCCGAGGAGCTGATCCATTCACCAGCTCCTCATTCTGCTGCGGTTGTTGGCTCTGCTCTTGCAGAGCCATCTTCAGTCTGCCATTGTTTCCCCGGAAGTACCCAGAATCACATTTTGTGAGATGGACAGCTATATAAATATGATGAACGAATAAATAAATAAACTGTGGCTAGCATCATCAGAAGCAAGGTGGTCTACTGTGCAGACCACAGGCAAGTGAGCAGGGACTGACTGGGCTCCTGTCTTTATAGCTAGGCAACCTGACTTTTGATTGGTCTTTAGTCAAGCTGGTCTCTGATTGATGCAGGTTGGTGAGGGCTGGTCTCTGATTGGAACCAACACCACCAAAATGACCAATCTGAATCAGGCATAAACAAAGAACCAATCAGAGACCAGGCCTCACCAACCTGCACCTATTCCCTCAGCCAATAGATAAAAGTGCAACTTGGGAAAATCATATTTGTACCCAAGAATGTTTCTGTTGTAATTCTTAGGGTTCTTCTCCTGCTGGTTACAAAAGATGACATGGGTGTCTCACCTGCTAGTGTTCTGTTAGGGGATTCTGCAGTGGCAAGTGCTGGAGCCCAAGAGCTCTTAGAACACAGAACTGACTTCCTAGATATCTTACTATAGAAAAGAAGGAAACTAATGTTCATGACTGGAAGGCACCTTGTCTGTTGGTAAGTAGGTGGAAAAGCAAGGAAGAAGGGGTGATGCATTTCTTTACCTCCAAAATTCATTTGGAGCCCTATTTGTTGACTTATTCTTACAATAAACTTTTGTCTTCGTAATTAACATTTCATGAATGTTGCAGGTTGATGAGGGCTGGTCTCTGATTGGAACCAACACCACCAAAATGACCAATCTGAATCAGGCATAAACAAAGAACCAATCAGAGACCAGCCCTCACCAACCTGCATAAATTTATAATTTATAATTATAAATACTAAAAAGTGTATTGGATAAAGCTTAAGAAATAGTTTTAGAAAGCAAGCAACCTGACAGTTTGCTTACCTTGATTGGGTCCCATTGGCCAAAATTGCTTGGATGTTTATAAGAGAGAACAATCATTTTGCGTGCAAGTGAAAAACTTAGTGGATAACATTTCTCAAAAATGCTCTCACGATTTTCTATAAGGTCCTTCAGCTTTTTAAACAATTGGTAGCACACAATGCGAGGCTTTCGTTTGCAACTAAGACTTATTTGAGGTACCAGTAATTTTTCAAATTCTTCCTGGGAACAAAGGAGAATAGGACAGAAATAAAAAACATGGCTAAGCAATATTTTAAATAAGTACCTTTCATGAAGCCTCAACAACTAAATCATTGCTGTAGGCATATCACATGTTAACTAGATAGAGCTATGGATTTGGCAAATTACTTATCAGAAGAGTAGCAAATGGCAAGGCTATTAGAAGGATCCCACTGCAAAATCTACAACTAGTGGCACCTGTTATATAGAACTAATAAGTCATTGGCAACCCCCCTTTTATTTGGTTTGATATCGTAACTCATCTTAAGCATGTACAGTCATATTCAGTGATTTTCAAACTTCATTAAAATATTCCTGCAAAGTCTGGATTTTAAAAAAAAATCTTAGGAATAAATTATGCTTTATGGAGGCTTCCATTAATAGCTATAGGATTGAAAGTCAATTTGCAAGACAAGGCTGAAAGAAACATATGCATGGTTCACTTGGACATTTGGTTTACATATTATACTAACCTGCTGTTTGCTTAACTATGATTTGTTGAATTATCATAATTGGCTGGGTTCATACATCATGCAAAATCATTAATCGTGATTTATAAACCACAATGGTGGGTTAAAGAGTGTGCTAACCCAAAATCAAACAAAGCACATTATGATTTAATGCAATATGAATCCAACCACAGTTAATATCCAGGCAAACAGTTGGGGTTTTGCAGAAAATTAAAAGTGGAAAACTGCAACCAAAATCAGTGTCAATAGACTCAAACATTCATATCCAACCATAGATGTACATCAGTGGAGGGGGATGATGACATGTGCATCATGATATCCTCATGCAAATGACACAACTTACATACTTGTGTCAGGATACCATATTACAAGTACATAATTGCATCATTGGCATGTTGACATCATGATGCACACTCCATCATTTTGACCAGAGTTCTCAGCTTGGTATCACTGGAATCTTTCAACTGAGTTTGAACTTGAAGGTATGTTTCCCTTTATGAAGAGATACAACTTTTGAATCTGTACTAACCTTTGAAGGCAGCTTTATATTATTTTCTACTCTCAAACAGATAATTAAATACTTTCAATAAAACTTCGGGATCACAGAATGCATCCTACATTTTGAACCATTTAAACCTTTAAGAAGAAAAACTTAATTCGTACTTAGCATACCGATGCATATGTTATAGTATCCCAGCAGAGATGCAGAAGGAAGTGAGGGCAGGGGGTCAGATTGACAAAAACAGTGTCATGGCACAAGTCCCACCCTGTTTCCATGTGAATCACATATTGAATGTACACCCAAGCAGTATAACACCAAGATGCTGCTTTTGTTATTTTGATGACAGCAGCAGATTTCTGCAGATACGTACTGTATCTGAATTCAAACCTGTTAGTTATCCTTAGGATAAGTAGGAGGCCTCCAGGAATGAAAATGCCAACCAAAGCAATAATAGGAATTATATGAATAGGCTTGGTACTCAGATGATACATTAAGTAACAGAGAAACTTTGGGAATTCTGGTGCAATAATATTCATTTGGCAGACAGATGGAAAAAGTAACAGCGACTCCACCAGCCCAGCCATAATTATGGCTCTTGTTCATCACCACTGCAATATATATTGCAATTATAGTAATTGGTACTGCACTAGCTATAATTCTTGTGGGATTGAAAATAGGAGTGACTGGTCTCAGAAACAAATGTTAGGAGAGGGTTGCCAGGGGAATGTCATATAGTGGAAAGAGCAGCTTGAAAAAAAAATTGGGAAGGGCAGAAGAGGCTGAGGGAAAAGAAAAGAAAAAAATGGGGGGAAAATGGTTTCCTCTCTGAAGAAGGGTAAGTCATAATTTCAGCTGAAAGATTTTTTAAGTCATCAGATACCATGGTTTTCTTGGACAGTCTAATTTTGGTGTGACAGTCCTGGTCTGGGGGGAATTGTCCCAGGCCTCTTTTTTTTCTTTTTCTTTTTGTGTCTTCAAGTAACTCCTGGTGACTGCATGGACTATGAATTACATTATTGAACTGCGTTGTCATCATCTAGAGTCCTAGTGGATCTCTTAAATACATTTTAAAAACTTCTACATTCATTGTTCATTGTCTGACAGTACTTGAAGTGGAATGGGCAGTGGCTGCAGCACAGTATGCAAAAGTCATAGAAAGGGCATGAGATCATTGGGCGCTCTCTTAATGGGCAAAAATTGTTTTAAAATGTAAATCCTGCAATCAGTAACCCAGTAGACTGAACAAGCTACCATGATTTAACTTACTTTGCTTTTCAAAATGTATACTTTAGTTGGCACTCCATGACCAAAAATTTCTTAGTGCTGTTTGTTGAAACAATTTGTTAAGAAATAAAGAAACATCTGCAAAACCCAAATATTCATTAACTGAAGAACTACAGAAAACCTTCACTTTTCTGCCTAATGTAGGGATAGATCATGCAAAAATACCTGGTAAGCTTTTCTGTTGTTCATGTGCATGTTTGATATCGCTGACCATATTCAAACAGACCCACAAGATATGGGTCAAGGTTGGAAGTAACAAAGTGGTGTTCAAAGTAACTTCTGGAGAAAATGAAAAGGCAGCAGCTAAATGTTCATATGCTTGCTGTGTTGTAACAAGCAACTGTAGTTTTCAGTCCATAGCCTGCTTTTCTACTTTATTTGAATATTGTGAGGGAGTGAAGGAAAACTTTTTAGAGTTTACCCCTGTGTCAGGTGAAATCTTCTATACCAAGAAATATATAGGGCTTAGAAAAGTACAACTTAGAAGAAAAAGTGATTGGATTTTGTGCTGACAACAACACAGATACCAATTTTTGTGGTAAACTAAGAGCAGGAAATAATTTTTTCCTGCAAACTGAAAGAAACAATTGTGAAAATTTTTAGAGTGGGGAGTGCAGCTGCCTTGTTCACAATGCAGTGCAAACCACTGCTGACAGGCTAGTCCATAACACTGAGCTGCGTTTTACAAGTAGAGTACAGTATCATTTTAACAGACTAACTGGATGGAAGTGTCCATTGCTCATGAATGTCCAGTAAATGGAGAGTATTTCATTGTAGCAATTTACTTCATTTGCATGATGATGATGGTTAGATTTTTATTCCACTTTTTTTACATATAACTCAAGGCAACGAACATACCTAATACTCCTGCCTCCTATTTTCCCCACAACTCTATGAGGTGGGTTGGGCTGAGACAGAGTGACTGGTCCAAAATCACCTAGCCAACTTTCATGCCTAAGGCAGGCCTAGAACTCACAGCCTCCTGCTTTCTAGGCCACTACCTTTACACTACACCACAACAGACTAGCTGTTTTGATGACATCACGACCGCATTTGTATCCCTTCAATTCGTACCATCAAGGTAATTTAGGTAATGGCATCATTATACAACTTACTATAGTTTATAGTGAAAATGTCTTTTGTTGCATGCAAACTCTGTTGCATTGAAGTCTGATAAATTGAGGGCTCAACTGTATATCACTTTATACCATGTAGTTGAAAGAACGGTGTGATTTTGTTGAATTGGAATATCAGCAGTTTCTCAGTGCAAGGAGAACATATTGGCTTTATTTGATGCTTTCAGCATACAGGAAACTGAAACCCATTCCAGTTCTCAAATCTTACTGTTCCTCACAAGAACTATTCTCAATTGCAATTCTGTGGTTTTTGATTACCATTTTGGTGAAATCTGACTCTGATTTCTGCACAATCAGTTCTCTCTGTTCAACAACCAAATAAACACTAAAGAAAAACAAAACTGCAGTGCAGATGTTGTCATGAAATCGAGTGATTTGAAAGAAAGTTGTTTTGGAAGAATTAGAGCAGAATTGTTCAAACTGGGTCTCATGGAATCCTTGGGCTCTCCCTTCTGTGAGAACTTGACAGGGTTCCGTGAAAGACTAAAAGTGAAAAAAAAAGTTCATTCAGACATAGCTAATTTGCTGTCATGACAGCTTTGCCTCTTAATCATGGGTTCCAAGAATTTTTTTAACTAACAATTTCCATGGTCTGAAAAAATGTGAAAAACCCCAAGTTAGAGTACTTTCTACAACTCGTAATTGCAAAAGTAAAGAATCAATGAAAGAGAGTTAACTGGTCAACTGATGTGTAAAAAAATATTGTCAAGAATGGAACAGGCAAAAAATAATCAGGATAATAGTGATGGATAGAAATTTTTACCCATGTTGGAAATACAGATATTACTTTAAAAACATGGTCTCCTAATAGAGTTTGCTACATGCCTGCCTGGCACAGATACAATTTTTCTCAATTATACATTATATCTAGGCCCTATTATAGAAACCAAATAGAACAGACAACTCTAGAATAATTTCTCATCCTGAAGGCCAACTGCAATTATAGTTGTGCTGAATAAATTTTACAAATATCTCTTAAAAAATAAAAGTATATTCTTTAAAAAAAATTCTACAGAAAAGTACTTATCATGGAAATAGCCCAAGGCAGTGTTTCTCAACCTTTTTGTGATTTTCTTTTTTTTTGGAATCCATTACACTCATAAAAGTGTAAATTTAATTTTCATTTGGGACTCTTGAATTATGGATTAACATTAATGAATGCACAAATGTATACAAATTAATGCTTTCCTGTTTTTGCTCTTGGAAATCTGACTACCCTAGATTTGTTAGGGTTGGATGAAGGGGAGAGCCATAGAAGTAAACAGTTGTAGCCCACTGAGAGCTCCCATTACTCAAGGTGCAGTGTGTGCTTATAGTAGCTGAAATGAAGGACAACTAGCAAATGATTAGGGAAGAAGAGGAAGGAGAAATTTATGTTGTTAATCTAAAATTTCATATCTTAATTTTTTTAGGTATTTGAATGTGTTAGCTCCTTTCTCTGATCTTCATTTATTTGTAGCAGTGGCTTTATGTAAGCTTGCTTGTAATTTGCATGAGACTAGTTGTTATTGTGATGAGTGATATAGTATCGATATGATTGAGGGACATGAAGCTGCTATCTTCATTAGTCTATTGCACAATATTTAGATAGCACTTACTCTTATGAGTGAGGCAAAACAAGAAATATCTAGCCCACTGGGCCTTTTATCACACAGGGACACACAAAGCTGTCTCTGCCATTAAATAAAAACCATCTTACATAAAGGTTGCCACACACCACTCTGAACAAGGCTGCAGAAGGACGGACAGGGGAGATTATAGCCCCAAAGCTTTGCATTGCGTATTTTCTTCTCTACTTTGATTCCAAAACAGATGAAAACAGGTTCATACTTTAAAAAAGTGCTCCAGGTGGCATAACAACAAAAGACTTTGCCAAACTCTTGGCAGTCAGAGTGGAGAAGACCAATTCCCCCCCCCCCGTAAAAAAGAATTAATTTCCTTTACTTTGCTAGACAATAGTATTGATGTTTCAAAGTTACATATTACAGACCAGTTCTTTTGAGGCATCTAAATTATGCAGATTGCTAAACCATCTAGGCAAATGTTAAAACAGAATAGAGGTGAATAAGATATGAGGAAAGTACCTGCATAGTTTGCACATTTGCGATATCTGCTTCATATCTCTCTGCAATCTCAGACTTTATGCGCTCAGTAGCTTCACTCTCCTGCTCTTCCTCATCTTCTCCCTCATCTTCTTCTTTAGGAAATTCTTCTTCCAGAATAGCTTCAATATCTTCCTCTTCCTCTTCATCTTCTTCATCCGGAGCTTCAGCTTCAAGCTTATTTGCCTCATTCTAAAATTAAAAATGTAACTATAGAATGGTTGTTGAAAAGATTTCAATGAAATAAGAAGTGTTGTCAGTCAATTCAATAGCTGCATACCAATAGCTTGCTGAAATGCTGCACAGACATAGAACCCAAGATCAAACCAAATTTAATCCCCATATGATTGAATCCAGTTTTAGTTGTATGTACAGACATTGGTGCTACACAATGTGTTGGGGAACTTGCTGAATGGCATAGCACAGGGGTGCTCAACTTTTTTCTGGACAGAGTCTACATTTGCCCTTTTGGGCATGATGAGCACCACAATACAATAAGTAGTGTGTGTGACCAGGACAAAAATCTATATTTAATTTAATTTCTTAATATTGATATTTAATTAAAATTAAATATAGCATTGTTAATGTAATTATTCTATAATTTGATATTTAATAATTTCCCCCTTCTGTATTATTAAACATTACAGTTAATAATAATTTTGGGAGTCCCTTGGGGTTGCTCCCAAGATTTTCAGGAGCATAAAGCAGCCCTGGGCCTCAGGTGGAGCTCCTCTGTTGTAATATCTTATGAGGAGATGAAGGAGAAAGGATGATCCCTGAAAATCAGAGAGAAATTGCTTCTAGAAGGTACATAATTTTTTGCGGGGGGGGGGATCAAAGTATAGCATTTGGGGGAAAATGGAAGACTACTTGGGGAAGGAAGGAGAGAGTTGTGCTTTCTACAAGCCCTGGTCTAGACCCAGCCCACTATCATCTGATTTTCTCTTCTGGACAAAAAGCATATGGGAAAGACATCATATTCATTTTTGCTTGCTTATTTATGCTAACACAGAGAAAGCCAAAGTTAGCTGTCTCTTCTCCACATACAGTTTAAGTGTCCCATTTTCAAATAATTGATTCTTCGTCCAAATATGTAGCGTATGTTTGACTTGTAAGGTTTATGTGTTGCTTACCACGTTATGCTTGAGTAAACATCTTTGCTGAACACATGTGTCACGAGAGTTTCTCTGAGACGAACGGGGTAAACCTTACATGACTGACTTTGAGACAGCCACCTGAATCTGTGTTTGTGATGTTATTTATACTATATGCATGCTGGGCATAGAAAGTACGCAGTGATCTAATCTGGATCATGATTTCTGCACCAAGGAAAAAAGAGACATAACCTTTCCCCTCCCAGTACTTAGGGAAACACTGAACCCTCCAAATCAGAACACTGATAAGATCAAACAAGAGCAAGATAATGCAAAATTTTGGTACTGTCTAATTTAGCCCTCCAAGTGTCCATGGGTTAGCTCCAGAGTATGTCATTTGCAAATAGAAAGACTCTTTCTGTTCAAAGAAGATACCAACATCCAGAGGAACTTCATCCTAAAGAAGTGGAGAAAGTGATTTTATTCATGTTTCCTTTCTTCTATCATCTTTCTTCTCCCTTGCCACCTCCTCCACTGTTCTAGACAGAACCCTAATTTTCAGGAGGTGGGAAGATTGTAGGCAGATGGAGAAATCAGTGAAAACTGTCTCTCCCCTGCCCCCCAATCCTTCTGTAAGAACATTCCATTAGCAAAAATTGGGGATTGAAGGGGCAAGTCTGTTTGCTGACTTGAAACATTTATCCAGTACAGCTTTATTACCAGATAAATACACTGAGCTAATTTTGATTATTTTCATACTCACAAAAGATTGCTTTCTTTTCCTAAGTAAAGCTTCTTAAGGGAGCAAAGACTGAACTTAAAGCTTCATATAGTCTTCGGTGGAAAAAAGGAAAAAAATCAGTCTAATGATTACAGTAATCATAAAATACATATAAGTGTTCTTTTCCAAAAGCAGTGGCTATATAAGATTCTTCAGATGAACAGATACAAGTCCCTGAGCAACTGACCGATTCCATCATGGGATGAGTGGATAATTCATAATTGATACTCAAAGAGTAATAATTGGTATTAGCATACAATCTGGATTCACTGCCTAGATATAGTCATGGAAAAGAAATAGTGTGCTGAACTGCTTTTAATGAAATTAAAAAACAAGCCAGCCACCCTCTTTTGAAACCAAGAGTCGGAAATCAATGAAAAAGTTTTGGCAGCTTGAAGCTCATCTTTGGGTCACTTTACTACCCCTACAAATAAGGCAATATCTGGTTATCTGAGGAACCGCCTCGTCCTGGTCACTTCAGCCCATCCCACTCGGTCCAGCAGAAGGAGCAGGTTGCAGATCCCACCAGTCAGGGAATTTCAATTGGTGGGGTCTAGGCAGAGAGCCTTTTCTGCTGCAGCGCCCGCCCTATGGAACAT